GCTCTCGAAATCCAAGACTCAGAACATAATCGTTGAAACGTGAGATCCAAGTATCGAAATCGAACCAAAAATTTCTTTGGAGTTCTTTTCTGAAGCACCTTCGGTTTCCTCAGAGTTACCATTTGAAAATTACAAAAGAGTTTACGTTCTTTTAATTTGGAGATAATTAAAACGAAAACAGACAAAAATTTAGGTACCACTCTCTGTGCTCATATGTGAAACAGCTGTAAATGCAGCTGATAATAAATAACGAATCATAGATTTATTAAACTATCAATCGAAAATGTTCTTTAAAAATATGCCGCTACGCTTTCAGAGAGTTCCCGTAGAGACAGAAGCGTCTAAACCTAATATAGCGTACACATCTTGACAGAAAATTACACTTGACATTGATCCTTGAATCGATTACTCCTTTTTTTTCGAATATGGTATTTTTTTCCGACATATCGACATTTCGTGCTTCGCACCATATTTCATATTCGAGAGAATCCAGAATACCACTGATGTGAGGAGTTCTTAGTCAAAAGAGAATGACTCCGCAACTTCGAATATTTCGTTTTACACTAGTTTTGATTAAACATCTGATTATTTATGCTAGAATTCATCTGTTCTTATCTAACGAGGGAACCTCTCGAGGTGTCAAAAAGTTTTTCGGTCGGAGATGTGGTGGTTAGATAGGGCATAGTTAGACGTGATATATCCCAAGTTTGCTCGTGCCCAAGTTGCTTCTAGCATAAGTTATGCACTTTTAAAGTTAGAAGCACAATAGCTGATTTTTCTGCTCAACCTTTGTTTTTTTTCGAACTAGAAAAAAAACATATTAAGCTAAACGTTTACTGTGTCTATTATAAACATTGATCTTGATCATTTAAAAAGTTCAATCAAAAAAGATAATTGAGATAGTATTTATCTTAAAAACTGGAACTGGTTCTCGTTTTTTTTTCATTAGCTTAAGAGATAAATTTTTGAAAAGAAGTGTCAATTTTTTTTCTTGTATGCTTGCGTGAACATCATAGAAAAAGAACAGAATACAGTCAAAACAAAATCATGAAAAACGTAGCATCTGCTTGCATAAGTTAGATATTATGAGTATGATAATTAACGAAAAAATCTTGGAAACATAATACTTTACTGCAATAGCTACATCAATCCTTAAAAAGTTATCTTTTAAGCTAATGAAAAAAACGAGAACTAGTTCCAATTTTTAAGACAAATAGTATCTTAATTATCTTTTTTTGATTGAACTTTTTAAATGATCAAGATCAATGCTTATAATAGACACAGTAAGCATTTAGCCCAATATTATTTTTTCTAGTTCGAAAAAAAAAACAAAGGTTTAGCAGAAAAATCAGCTATTGTGCTTCTAATTTCAAAAATGCATAACTTATGCTAGAAGCAACTTAGGCAAGAGCCAACTTGGGGTATGTCACGCCTAGCTATGTCCTATCTAACCACCACATCCACGACTGAAAAGCTTTTTAACACTTCGAGAGGTTCCCTCGTAAGATGTTCTTTGTTTTTCTGCTTTTGAAGTGACATCAATGTTAACTAACTTTGATTTTAACTCATTAGTTAATTTAATTGTTTGCTTACCAAGTAAGCTGGTGTCGTGATGTCATTCTTTTCTTATTTAGTTAAACAATCGAATCATGCATAAAAAAAACAGGTATTAGACAGTAGAAAAAAAAGTTAAAAAAGTGTACATTGTTGAAAGTAGGAAGGTATTCACATTAAAAGTACCAATACTATATTGTTCTCGTCAATTATTAACCATTAAATGTCTTCAAGATACACGCAGTGTCTATGATATCTTCCTAATAGAAAAGCAACAATCTTCTTGAATTTGAAAACAAATGACATTTTAATGTATCAATAAATTCGATCATAGTTGTGTAAAAACCAATCCGTTGAAAATATAAGTACTATCAAAATCAGAGTGAGTTTGCATTCATAGTTATCATAAAATCCTTGGAAGACTTAATACGTTTATGTTGTGTTGATAGACTCATTATATTATTTTGCACTGAAAAGTTTCCGCATTATGCATTGAATAAGAGCGAAGATTTAATCGACTCGAAGGCTTCGCAGTCATAGCCAAGTTAAAACGTTTTGAAATCACTCATGAGTAACAAAGAAATCTGAAAATTACGAATCTAAGCATTTCTGTTGATATGTAAATGGGCTTGGTTTTAATACTCACGTAAATTGTCGATACTAAACTTTAGATCAACGAAAAAGTTCGAGAGGTCACCAAGCTATCTAACCAGTAAACTATAGTCTTTTCATAACAGTTATCTATACACACGTAGGAGTCTATCTATAATCGTGTAAGTGGTATCAAAATTCATATCATTGAGAATATCGACTTTTCAATGATCTTTCTAACTAGTCACAGGTGTTCTTTCATCATGTATGAAAAACTCTGGGTGTAGATAGATGGATGTGGTTGATAAGAAGACAGAAATTCATATCCACATACAAAGAATCGCAGATTTTATGACTTTGATTCAATGAGAAAATAAAAATATTAGCCAATTGACAACAGAAATCTATACAAAAATACAAATTTTACTGGAAGAATTTCCAAGAGAAACTTATTATGCAAATGAATATTTGCCTGACTTTTTTTAAAATCATCAATTACAACGAATGTTTTATCTCTTTTGCACACTGTATGTTTTTTCATGAAACAAAATTTTATTTAATAAATACTATTATTTTTCGCTTCAGCTTCGGTAATATATGATAAAAAACGAAGGTGTTTAGGGTCTTATCTTTGAAGAGTCCAAGCAAACAATCATCATCATTACAAGAGAAAAATCGTTCGGTTATCTATGATGGAAAAGATAAAATTTCGTTTCATTTTAGTTTTCTTTCTCGTACAATCAAGATGCATCTTCATCTTTGTTTGATAGTTTGTCTTGCTTTGTCTGTTGTTTATAGTCGTGAGATTAAAAGTTCACAAAAAACAATATTATCGGAGAAGTTTATATCTGGAATCAATGCTGCTCAATCAACATGGAAAGCAGCACCATCAAAATTTATGACATGGTCAAAAGCTTCAGTAAAACGATTAATGGGTGTTTTACCAGGACATTTTATACAAGTAAAACATTTGGATCCACTTATACATGATGTACCAAATGATTTACCAGACAATTTTGATGCACGTGATCAATGGCCTAATTGTCCATCAATTAAAGAAGTACGAGATCAAGGAAGGTTGGTTTAATAGAATAGAAAAAAAGAAATAAGTTAAGCTAAGATTTATTTGTTGATATTTGTAGCTGTGGTAGTTGCTGGGCTTTTGGAGCAGTTGAATCTATGTCCGATCGTATTTGTATTGCATCGAGTGGATCACAAATTGTACATATTTCAGCTGAAGATCTTGTTTGTATGTTCAATTCACTATATTTATATTTTGTTTAAAAAGACACAATTGAACATTTTAGCGTGTTGTCTATTGTGTGGTCAAGGCTGTAATGGAGGTTTTCCAGTAGCAGCTTGGAATCATTATAGATTTACTGGATTAGTCACTGGTGGTAATTACAATACAAACCAAGGTTGTGAACCATACACTATTCCTGCATGTGATCATCAGTATGTTTAAGAAATTTGCTTTTTACACTCATATATATCTTGGGTTTTTTTTTAGTGTGAATGGAACCCTTCCACCAGTAAGTAAATGATTGGTTTGAAATAGAATAAAAATATCGTTTCGCTTATTAAATATAGTGTCAAGGTGAATTACCAACTCCTCGATGTGCTCATAAATGTATTGATAGTTATCCAACACCATATGCTAAAGATAAACATCATGGTGCAAGTGTTTATTCAGTTCGATCAAACCAGGAACAAATTCAAACAGAAATTATGAAAAATGGACCTGTTGAAGCTGCCTTCTCTGTATATGAAGATTTTCTTACTTATCGATCGGGTGTTTACAAATATACAGCTGGCTCTTTTCTTGGTGGTCATGGTAAGATTTTAATGGTTATCTTTCTTTATGTTAAATATTTAAAAAAAAAAATCTTTTTTTTTCTCAGCCGTTAAGATTCTTGGTTGGGGTGTAGAAAATTCAACACCCTATTGGCTTGTTGCTAATTGTGAGTATTAGTAAATTTATTTTACAAGGACTATTGTGTTTTTTCTTCTAGCATGGAATGAAGATTGGGGTGATAAAGGTTTCTTTAAAATTCTTCGCGGTTCAGATGAATGTGGTATTGAAAGCGGTATTGTTGCTGGTGCTCCAAAGCTTGATTAATAAACTATTTCATTTGATTTGACTCGTCATTCTTGTTTTTCAAAGAGAAAAAAGAATTTTTTTGTCACTTCAAACACTGTTCATCTACACTTTTCTATACAATAAAAAGAATATAATATTTAATATTTTGAGAAATATTAATTGTTAAAATGCATTAATTCGATCTTCTTTCGCCATTATATTTTGTTGCAGTTTTTCATCTATATTCCATTGTCAACAAAAATTTTGTATTCGAAAATACAACACTATTCTAAGTTTAAGTACTTTGACCTTACGTCTGGCATCAGATTAAAAGTTGTGGAATATCTGCATGGTAATATTAACAGATATAGTAAGAAGAACGTTCAGATCGATAATATAAAAGTCAAACATACTTCTTTAGTACTATATTATCTTGATAGTATAAATGATCAGATAAAAAAACTTGATACTTTTATGAATAAAATAAAGAATGGAAAGCATCCATCACAACACAACAAAATTATTTACGCACATGTATTATTGAACAATCCTACTGATAAAATTACAATAACATAAAATGCAAACGAATGTTTAACTACAATTTTTAGTTCATTGTGGCTATGATTTTTATTCTAGTCTTATTTTCGACAAGAAGAATAAATTTTAATTATGTAAAAAAAAAAAAACAAAATTTTAACTAAGTAGCGATTGTTATATATAGAAAATATTTTGAACTAACTATTCGAAATCATTTGTCTTTATTTAAAAAAATAGATTAAAAATAGTGAGATAATGTTTCACCATATTTGGCCAATAAAAACATAACTGCTATACCAAAAATAACACCCATATTTTGACAAAGTAGAATTTTAAGCTTCAATATTCTTGTGATTGGTTTATTACTCGTAGCATGATCTTTTTCAATTTCATGACCCATGGAAATAAGTTCAGGAATCTATTTAAAAGAAACAAATCTATATACAAATGTCACGATTAAATCTATAATATGTACCATATCAGCTAGACCAATATAAACAAACATACCACCTGCTAATGCACAAATCCATGGATGAAAATTTTCAAGTTCACCTAAATAGAAGAAATTATTGTCTCTCGAGATTATAAAATTATTTCTTTATAAAATTTGCCTAATTTTGCTCCAAGTATAAAACCGGGATAACAGCCACATGAAGATAAAAAATTCATTAAAAGAGCTTGCTTTATTGGAAGACCACTACTTAATAAAACGGCAGCATCACCTTTAAATTGAAATAAATATAATATTAATAATTATTTAATTTGCTCTTTGTTTTTTTACCGAGTTTATGAGAAAATTCTTCACAAACAATGGGTACCATCATACGAAGACATTCACTTATTGAAACGATAGCAATTGCACCTATAGTAAGACCATCAATAAAACCATGAAGTAGATCACTGAGAAGAATCATCCATCCGATTGGTTTCATTGTTCTTAGATTTTCTCTTAAACTTTTTGTATTTTTCTGTTGAAGAATGGGCTATAAAACGAAAAAAAAAAATTTATTTTTATATTCGAATGAAATCTGTTAAATGTTTTCAGTAAGTACGGTTATTTACTAAAGTAAATAAATCAACAAACAGTTGTTGTCAATCAATAGATAAACAGAGAAGTAAAATTTATAGTGAGCATGTCTAATCAATCATCATAATATATGAGTTTTTCATTCATTGTCAATAATTAGCGAAAGATCAAATTTGTTACAAATTCAGATGAATATAATAAACTCATAAAGATTCTAATCATTTTTCCATAAAATCAAAAATCATATTTAAATTACTGAAATATTCTTTACAATCGATTCGTGACAATTTTTTATATTGATTGATATCGTTTAACCATCAAATTAATTGTTTAATACTTTTAATAAAACATCAGTTCAAAAAAAAAAAAAACAGGAAATTATATGCAAAAATCAAAACCTACTAATCGTTTTCTAAACTCACCGATATATCTTCGTCACCATGACTATGATTGGATATAACCTAGAATAAACAAATATTTGAAAATATTTTCCAATGCTACGTATTTGAGACTAAAATGTGCAACCTACATCTCATTTTAAGCTTTATTGTTCTAATACAAAATAGGTTAAATAAAATATTTCTTTCCAAGAATAATCGATCGTCCGAAAAACAATGTGTTTTTTTTTATTTTTTTTGTATTTTGAACACATTTTCTTTCTTTTCGGTTTTTCTTAAATTACTCTGCTGACTATTGATTTAACTGACAAATAGACTTGTGACGTACATCTATTATATCTACAATGGGTCTCAAAATGTAATTACGTATATTAATCACCTCAGAAACACTGCAATAGATTATTCGAGAAAACTTCAACTTCATTCGTTCATGCATTCAGTGTTGATCACAAATAACGATTGCAGTAAATCGAAACATTATTAGTCATCATCTTTGATATCTATCATGAAATCATTCATCTACATAAAAATCAGAAGTAATGCTGCTTAGAACATTGAAAATTCCAGTTTAGACATTTAAATTTAAATGAGAACTTTGAAATATTTAGATAACGAGTATAGTACGAAAAGCCTTAAAAGATCGACTTAACATTTATACTCACCATTTTCTTCGACAATACGTATGAATTCCACAAAAACAATATTTAAAAACAAGAAAGAAAATGTTAATCAAAAATACAAACCGTTTCAATATGAAGAAAAGTTTCGAATATTTGATCACGCATATAAAATAAATAAATAACAATTGTTGTTATGAGAGCCTTAGTGAGAAAAGTTAGATCTTTATCATAATCTTCAATACTAAATGCCTATAGAAATAAAATAATATTTAATTTAATTATAAATAATTGAAAATACTTACCATTGGAATAAGATGAAATATACCAGTACCAAGAAGTGTACCAACAGCTATACATAAAAGAATATTACAATAATTAAAATATTATTAAAATATGATTAATTACCTAAACCAATAAAAGTAGTTAGAAGCCATTTAAATGCAGGTCTTTTTCGAAATGGTAAAATAATTGCACTAAAAAGTGCCGCTAAATTAATAATACTTACTGAGATCAAACCAACCAATATATCTTCAATTATAAGAGAAGTTTTATTTAGAATGAATATCATATATTATTACATACTTTTCCATTTTGTAGTGCCTTGCTGTTTTAAGCATCCTTCATTAAATTTCACATTGACTAAAGTTGGAGTTAATTGTTTGACATCTATACGAGTTAGAGTAGTATTTTCATTTATTCTTGTAATATTTAATGCATTAAGTAAATCATTCGTTGATTGAAAACACTAATATATATTGAATAAAATGACATATAAATTCAATATTCTTTACATAAATATTCACCTTATTTTCAATAGTATCTTGTTTAATATCTTCATCAGTAATCTTATGACGAACATATATTAGATCATCAACACCATTTGATTCAATTAATTTATTATAAAATAATTTTAAATTAGTTTGATTTTTTAAATATGAATAAAGAAGATTTTCTTCTAAACGACTTAAGTCTATGTTTGATGTCAAAACAGAATCTGGTTCAATATGAACAAGAAAAATAATAAGAATTACGATGATTTTTATCATCTAGAAATAAATTAAACAGTAGTCTAATGAACAAAATTTGAATAGAACTATTTTTTTTCGAATAGTCATTTGATCGAAGTGAATTGTATTGAAAGAAAAAAAAACAATAACTTTTTTATCTATCAACATTTTGAAACTACTATCTTTTAGAAATTCCGCTATTCTTGTTATATAGTTAAAATGTATCAAATACGAACAAAACACAAAAGAAAATATCAGTTATGAGTCTTATTTCTTGTTGTTTAGAAAACCGATTTTGTGTTGGTGTTTTTATAATCAATAGAAGATATCGGAAAAAGTTCGCGATATTTTTCCGATCAATATATCTTTGCAACTACTTGAGCAATTTCAAAAAATAAATAATCATTTTAAAGAGTATTTCAAAGGGCACTTATTGTATAAAAACAAACGTTCTAGCTTAAGAAGTAAGAGTGTCAATAAAAGAGGTTTGCTACATGCATTTTTGGTTCTCAAAAAACAACAGATGGAACAGATTACACGGCAATATTTTGCATTTCAATTTTTCATCACTTAATACTTTGTTTTAAAAAAAATAAAATATCTCACAAGATGCAGCATGAAAAACTCTACAATCTACAAAGTAAAGCTGATTTTAATTGTGCACGTTTTGTTTTCAAAAAAAAAGCAAAATTCTTTGCGATTGATTTTCGACGCTGTGAAAAGCTCATTTTTTTTCTACATGAATCATTCATTTCATCTTTTCATTACCTAATACATTTCATTAAAAAAAATAAAATGTACCATAAGATACAGCGTGATAAGCTCTACAATTTACACAGAAGAATTTATTGGTTAACATCTCTCAAGTAGTTGCAATGATATATCGATAGAAAAAATGCCGCGAACTTTTTTTCTCTTATATTAGTAGACTCTTTTTCGCTCATTTGACCGAATGTAAGTACGAGATATAATCTTCTACAAACATTTTTGTTCATTTTTATTTTTAGTTGTTTAAAGTAGACTTATGGATATTTTTCATATAACAAGATGTTTCTTCAAATAGGTAATGATAAGATTCTCTAAAAATAAAGAAAAACACTTCTGAGATATTACCTCAGCTATTTCCAAAAACATTTTCAGTCTTATAGAATTAGATTGCATGAAATTTGTAATTGAAACCAATGAAACTTTGTGAAAATATGCTTGAATAATGACTTCCTTAAAGAATATAGAGTTATGTTGAGCCTTCTCCATTCACAAAATCAATTTTTTCGAAAAAAAAAACTGACGTGAAGCTTTTTTATTATGAAAATAAGATACTGTAAAGTGTCCTCTCTTAGGAGAAATTTTCGTGGTTTCTTTAAATTTAGGAAGATTGCCTTTTTACTTGTAGCAGCAGTGAATAAACATTCTTATCTAATTGAAGCACGATAGATGATGCTAGCTCATATCATCTGTTGCATGCTTTTGAAAATTCTATACAAATATTTTATGAATATGTTCTTTTTCTGGATTTAAACGAAAAAGTACACGTCGAAACTTATTGACTGTTTTTCTCAGACCATAGTTTTCAATCAGGAAAAACAGTACACCTCTTACTCAATTCAAAACTTAACAAAATTTTGTTTGTTATAAAAGTCTAAATGAGAGTAAACTTTTGTCTGACTATATTCTTATAGTTGATTTTTGTGTTGATAAAAGCAAGATTTAGTGTCTTGGAGTTACAGTTTTTGCTTTTTTTTAACACAATATACTTATAAATGATTATAACAAATGAATGAATGAATGCAAATTTCCAAATTCTATTCGAACAACAACTCTACATAAGTATTAGTTGCTATTTCAAATTATCTCGAGCTCTGTACGTCTTGTAATGGCGACGTTATAAAGATTCTCATCTCTCAATAAATCAGAAGTTCGCTCTAGTTTGATATATCGGACTGAAATTTTTATTAGAAACATTTCTCACTTGAACTACTCATTCCCAAATAAAGTCTGCCTAAATGAATGATTCTAAGTGAAAAACATATTGTGAAGGGCGAGAGGGCAGGCTTAATTTTATCCTTGTTGAAAAGTAACTATAACCTAACAAGATGAAGAGAGTACATACAAAGCTTTTAAATCAACGCACAGAAAAACAAATCCATGCTAATAGCTTTAATAACCATGGTTGAAAATTGATTCCTTATTTATACTATGAATACGTGTTTTTTTTTCTACGTTCTATTTATATAAATATATATTTCCTTTCAATTTAAAAAGTCTCAAAAATGTTGAAAAAAATAAAATAAATAGTGATATTGATTTAGTAAGAATGATGTTAATCCTAGATTTATATTGAACATTCTATTTAGCCTTATTCAATACGATAGTAATACGTAAAACAAAAAACTTTTTTTTTTCTTCACTGATACATAATATTGATAATTTTAATACCTTATACCGAAGTCATTACATCACCATTATAAAAATTAAATGACAAAGTGTTTCTATATCATAGATATTTTTAGTCGAATAAATATGAAAATATCACTTGGTGCTGCACTGTAGTTTAATATTGATGTTAGAGGACAAAAAAAAAGAATCATCAGTTTTCAGTACGTACATATTTGAAGATAGGAACGAGAGTGTGCTTTTATGTATAGTGTTTAATGAAGATTGAATAGGTAGGTAATATGTGTGACATAAGCGAACCTTACATAAAAAAATGATGACTACATATGTGTTCTTTTCTTTCATGTGATCTCATGCGTGAAAATTATACGAAACAAATCGTTATTTTTTATATAAAAAATACTGTATTACAAGAGAAATGTGACAACGATTGATGAGATTTCAAGAGGTACACTGATCAGTATGCAATCAGAAGTTCTCTCAATCAAGTGTTTAACACAATGAGAATAATATTTGCCATATACAAAAATAAATATGCTCGTATTCTCCTTTCGGCATTATTTTTTCCTAAAAGTAATAATGTTGAGACAGTCCTTTTCACTACAAGTCTGTACAACTAGTAACATACCGGAAATAAAAATTGAGTAATAGGAAAAATTGTATGCCTTGTACATAAGATAACAATGATAAACTAATCAGATTTTATGATAATTATAGTAGTATGATGCTAAAGATATCACAACATTCTAATTTCCAATATATCAATCTGAGATTTGACATTTGAAATTTAATTTCCAAGTAGTTAGTTGGTTACTTCGTATATCAAAGAATCAATAAATCAATTATAAATAGTCTTTCAAAATACAAAAAGTTAAATTCCCAAACCGGTACTATATCTTACAGGCATCCTCAAAATGAAAAAAAAGTGTGAAAATTATGCTTTAACGTGCATCTCAAAGAATTCTCAGCTGCTAAATTCTTTTCATTGAATTTGTTGGATCATAGATTAGATTGTATAGAATCCATTGATTGAAGCTATGAACAGGAACATTTTTCGAACCAATGTAGTATCAATAGACTATTCAAACGTGATTTCAGTCAGCTTGAAATAGATAAAATTTTGCATGTTGTTTATTTCATTGAAAAACATTTACACGAGTACATTTGTTGAAAAGAAGACAATCGCGTCAACATTTTTGAAGACTATGATCTGGCGATTATGATATATGGAACATTTTAGTGCTCATCAATCAAATATCCATGAATAAGTGAATCTTATATGCTAGTAACAATATTTCCAGTCTAATATGGTGAAGCTAGCCATTATTCGGAAGAATTTTTTCGACATGATAACGACAACAGTAACTTTTCAAATACAATGAATATCTCTATTTCTTAGACGACATCAAGTATTTTTTTTCGATGATTTTTAACTAATATTTATTCATATCGCTAGATGATATGAATAATATCTGAATGGATGAATCTTACACTATATCCAGCCGAGCATATTTTATTATTATTTAATAGTACTTAATTGCTTGTCTCAAATTTATCGAATGCAATAGCAACGCTAATTGAGCAATCAACGAAGGAAGATAATACAAAATGATTAACTTTTCAATAGACCACAGCGAAACTATTCATTCAATGAAACTTGATTTCAATTGTGGGTATATCAATGCATCATTCATTTCCTTGTTGGATCGAACGTACCAATAAAACAATACTTAATTATCAATATATTGGATACATGTCAACAATAGACACGGGTCCAAACCTTATCACCTCTACAGTCTTGATGATTTCAGTACTCAAACATCAATCAAGCAACGAACAGTTATCAAGTACTACTAAATAAAACTGAAGAACCTCTTAGAACTCTTGGAAATCAAGAAGCTCAGCGAGTTTACGCAACTTTCAGATTGCGTGTGTAATTCTGTTTGCAAATAGAGATCTTCTTTTCGTCATTAACACTACTACACCCAGAATCACGGTCACACCAAAGCTCCATACCATTACACCCACACCCTGATTCTCATTGAGCATGGATCAAGTGCGATGTTCATATATATGACAAATTCTGAATGATTGTGGATGATCAATTTCTACTTGAAGTTGCCGTTAGACTTGTCAATAGCTGATATTTTTCTATTAGAAAGATTTGATTGATCTTCACTTTATTCGTGCCCTTTCGATTGACGTATGTTCTAGCGTTTTTCTTTCGCTCATTTATTCTGTTTCACTAAATATAAGAAAAAAAGTTATTTCTGAGGGAAGACGAACAATTTTTTTCTACCAGTCAAGATTGAGTACTTTTTTCTAAATTATAAAATAAGATAGAGTCTAACAAGAAGAAACATTTCGAGATTTTTGTCAATCTGTATTTATAATAATGCTTGTATAATTGTAATTTGTCTAACGATTATCGTAAGACACTAGAATTGAAGTCGACGTTGTTTTCTTTTATCGAAAAAAAATTTCTATTGACCATTTCTCTCCATTTATCCTGTTTTTAGCCCATTTTCAGTTAATGCAAATAAGAATATAAAAGGCATAAGTTCTCAAAATTTATTATATTAAACAGCGGGTATTTTTAGTAGAAAAGCATTGTTATATCGACAAATCATTACATACTTAAATCT